CGCGGTTACGGCTCGCCTTCGGGGTTCAATTTCAGACCCATGCAGACCTCTACTGTGAAGCTTCCCCTATGTTAAAAATCAAAGGCCTTAATTCAACGCCAGCAAGTTGGAGCTACAAGGAAGGGCTTGCTGATAAAGTGGCCAGTGAGTTCCTGCGTCCTTGTGCATTTTGTCCAGGCCCCGTCTCTGACTGACGCAGTGGTTAATACACGGGCCAGTAAACATTCACTCTGACAAACACGATAAGAGAGCTCAGCGCGACACACTCGCAAACACACGCTGATCCGCATCCCCATGGAAACACCGGCACATGCTGACTGATGGACGTCTCCATGGATACCTGTCACCGTGGAGACTGACGCTGTGTCTCTCTCTGTGCGGTGCCATCAATATCTGCGCAGGGGAACGAGGTGTACGTGTGTGAGGCAGGTGGGAGGTGTGTGTGTGTGTGTGTGTATGTGTGTGTGTGTGTGTGTGTGTGGAACAGACAGGTTGCAGAGAGGCCACTGTTCACCTGACAGCCACTGTCTGTTTCTCTCTCCTCTCTCTCTCTCTCTCTCTCTCTCTCTCTCTCTCTATCTCTATCTCTATGCAAAATAGTGATTGACACACCTCTCGACCAGTCAGAACAGTCTTTAAGCACCACTGTGAAAAACTCAGAAAAACTCCACAGAACAAACCTGCAGTGAGAACAGCAGTAGCAATAAATTGGTCATAATTATTAGACTAAGACAGGAGAGTCTAGGATAGGATAAGACAGGATAGATTAGCATAGGATAGGATGGGTTAAGCATAGGAGAATATCGGATAGGGTTGGTTGGGATATGATAGGATAGGGTAGAATACAATAGGGTAGGGTAGGTTAGTTAAGGATAGGACGGGACAGGATAGGATAGGATAGGACAGCATTTCTCAACCCTGGACTTGGAGGCTCACTGCCCTGCACTGTTTTACCCAGCTCCCAATACACCTGATCCAACTTATCGGCTCATTAACAACCTGAATTAAAAGGTGGTGTATTTAAGCAAGGAAAATACTAACCTGTGCAGGGCAGTGGGCATCCAGGACCAGGGTCGAGAAACACTGGGATAGGACATGTTACAATACAATTGGTTGGCATAGGATACAATTAGGAAAGGTCAGGTTCACGTAGGTTAGAACAGGATAGGATAGAATTCTATAGGTTAGGACAGAATAGGACAGGATAGGATAGCATAGGATAAGAGAGGACAGGATAGGTGATAATAGGACAGGACAGGATAAGAGTGGACAGGATAGATGAGGATAGGATAAGATAGGTTAGGACAGGATAGGATAGTACAGAATAAGATAGGATAGGATAAGATGGGATAGGAAAGGATAGGAGAGGTTAGAAAAGGGTAGGATAGGATAGGATAGGATAGGATAGGATAAGATAGGATAGGATAAGTTAGAACAGGATAGGATAGGATAGGATAGGTTGGGGTAGGAAAGGATAGGAGAGGTTAGAAAAGGGTAGGATAGGAAAGGACATGATAGGATAGGATAGGTTGGGATAGGAAAGGATAGGATAGGTTAGAAAAGGGTAGGATAGGATAGGATAGGATAAGATAGGATAGGATAAGTTAGAACAGGATAGGATAGGATAGGATAGGACAGGAAAGGATAGGATAGGTTAGAAAAGGGTAGGATAGGATAGGATAGGATAGGATAGGTTGGGATAGGAAAGGATAGGATAGGTTACGACAGGACACAATACGATAGGACAGGATAGGATAGGATAGCACAGAATAAGATAGGATAGAATAGAACAGGTAAGAATAGGATAGGATGGGATAGCATGGTTTAGGATATGATAGGTAAGGATAGGATGGGATGCTATAGGAGAGAACAGGTTAGGACACACTGTCAGAAAAAAGGTACTGTGCATGTACATTTATTGTTCTTCCAGGTACAAATCTACCCTCAAAGGCAATAATGTTTTTTTTCTTCAATTGTGTACCTTAAATAAGTTTTTCCCAGGGGAAAAGTATATCTTCTGACATTTTCATAACTTTACATTTTAAAACAAAATCAAATAAAAAAGGCTGGGGTCCAGACACAGTGTGCAGAGTCAATGCAACCTTAAAATATAACTGCAATGGAATATGGTAAAATTATGTTCCCTGACTAAAGGTACTGCGAAGGATCCTTGAGGGAACCACCCCAGTGACAAGAGCGGCACTGCCCCAGTGACAGTTTAGTGCTTTTTTTCTAGGAATGTAGCGTAGGATTGGAAACGTTAGGACAGGACAGGATGAGAAGGATAGGAAAGGATACAATAGAGTAGGGTAGGATAGGATACGATAAGATAGGATGGGGTATAATAGGGTAGGGTAGGATAGGGTAGGATACGGTATGTTAGAATAGGATAGAATAGGTCAGGGGAAAGGAAAGGATGCGGCTCTTTTACTGCCCTGTTGTGGCTCCACAGCAGAATTAGATTATTAGATAAAAATAAAATAATCCTCCTTTACAGTAAAATAAAGCTCTGCTGATCGTTCAACACAGTTTTAACAATAAATGATCTTAAACGCTGGAGTTAATATAGAACTGCTAATTCATCAGTCAACCCTGAAGGTTCATGCGCAGACTGCTGGTCACCATAGCAACGCAGACAACAATCTCGCCTAGCTAGTAGATAACGAAAAGACAAAGATTTAAGACGAACATTAATAATTTGGAGACAAATGCGTTTATAATCACTCCAGCTGGTTTCCTGATACGTTTAATCTGAAACGAAACACTGTCAAACAATAAAAAGTCATGAAGCTGAAGTCAGACTCTCATTCGCCAGCTTTTTGTTCAAATTTCCCCGTTCCACCTTAAATGGTGCAGCAGTTGCATTCGGGTGCCTCGGGCACCATTTAAGGTGGAACGGGAAAATTCAGCCTCATAAAAAGTTGAATGTTGAGAGACGTTTTACAGCAAACTGTTCTACTTTTGAGGAAAAGTTTCCTGCTGGAGATGTGAGAAAAGCAGCTATAGCTGAGCTGAAGCTTAAAGCAGAGCAAAGTAAGTCTGTGTTTTGGTTTATATTAGATTTTTAGTCTATACTAGAACATCAGCACATACTGAGACATATTTACAGCCAAAATGGTAAAATGGACATAAAATGTTGTGGCTCCCAAGGTGGTTTTTTGCTGAAAGGACAAAATGGCTCTTCTTAACATCTGGGTTGCGACCCCTGGGTTACGATAGGGCAGGGAAGGGTAGGATAGTCAAGGTTTGGATAGGAAAGGGTCATGAACATGAAACCTTTCAAAAAAAACATTATTTGAAATTAATAACAGTAATCAATAGCTGGCAGTACATTCCAACAAAGACATTTCGAAGCAAAACAACATCTTTTAGACCAAACAACAGGGTGCTTTGAGTTTGTACAGTGCAGTGTGTGCCGTCCAAGAGAAGAGTCGCTGTCTGTCGCTCCCTGTGGTCTTCTGCCATTGTACGTCCCCCCCCCCAAAAGTCACTGGATTCCTGGAATTACGTGGTCGCTTAGTAGTCAAAATATGAATAATGCTACATGTAAGCTTCAAGCAAGCTGCACTCCTGTGCACTGCAATAACATCGCATGAATGTCTACTATTAAACTTAAGCGCTGTTACATACCAACACCAGCTACTACTGCCAAAGCCTCTCAACTTCCTCAGCTTGCAGGTTTGTGTGGTGCGTTCTGTTGAGGTTTTCAGGCTTATGATGTCCGTTCAGTGTCAGCAGTGTTACCTCATAGCAATAGTTGCATTTCGGATCCTTAATGACCTCATTATTCACAGTATCCGGCGATATTCAGAGGAAAAACAGCCATATGGCAAAATGTATCTGCTTTGGAAGGTTTTTGTTTACCACAGGGCACGACAGCAGTGATTTTCAAAAAAATGCAATTTATTTTTCCCGAAGAGGAAACCAGCTCAGACACGGAATTCCTAATATGGGCATGACGCCGACCACAGCCTGACGGCACGACTGGCGTGACCATATTTAGTTACAGTACAGACTCAGTGAAACAACACAGTTGTTTAGAGATTTAAGAAGCCGTTTCTCTCTCTCTCTCTCTCTCTCTGAACTCTGTCACTCTGTCTTTCCTCCACAGCTCTGGCCTCCTTGCTCTTCTCTCCACACCTCCTTCCCCCTCAGTGCCCTCTTACTGCCCACAGCATCTCTCCCTTCACCCCACTGCACTCCAATCTGTACAAACGCCTCTCTCTTCTCACTTCTTCTTCTCTCTCTCTTTCTCTTTTTCTCACACTTTCCCTTCCCCCTTTCTCCCTTCTCCACTCCCTCCTCTCCATCCTTCGTCTATCTAACTATAGCGGTCTATCTATCTATCTGCCTGTCTAGCTGTCTATCTATGTATAGCTGTCTAGCTGTCTGTCTATATATCTGTCTATCTCTCCATCTATCTCTCTATCTATCTATAGCTGTCTAGCTGTCCATCTGTCTCTCTAGCTGTCTGTCTATCTATCTGTCTATCTATCTATCTATCTGTCTATCTATCTATCTATCTATCTATCGCTGCCTAGCTGTCTGTCTATCTAACTCTCTAGCTGTCTGTCTGTCTGTCTGTCTGTCTATCTAGCTGTCTGTCTATCTATCTATGTATAGCTGTCGGTCTATCCATCTATGTCTATCTATCTGTCTGTCTATCTGTCTATTGCCCTCTCACTTTCTCGCTCCATCTTTCTTTCTCCCTCTTTTTTTTCACTCGTTACCTTCATCTCTTTCCCCTCTACTCTACCCCTCTGTCTTTCATTTTGTCTTTTTCTCTTCTTTTTCATCTTGAGTTGCCTTTAATTTATCTTTTTTCATCTCCTCTCTCTCTCTCTCTCTCCTCATTCCCCCTTCTCTATATCTCCCTCTTCCTCATTCTCTCCTCTCCCTCTCTCTCTGTTCTCTTGCTCTCTCTCCCACGCTGTGTGAAATGGAAGATGGAAGCACACTCTCGGAGACCCGGGTTGCCATAGCAACCGCCTCACACTCACCATCTTGCTTGTGGTCCGTGTTCCAGGGCTCGCTGGCGTCCGTAACCCAGCGGAGAGGCTGCGAGAGTGGGCCGGCTCCATCAGGCGAGGCTGGGGATTCGGCCTGGAGTCCGCTGGACCTGCGGGCGGCGAGAGAGAGAGAGAGAGAGAGAGAAAGAGAGAGAGAGAGAGTGAGAGAGAGAGAGAGGACAAGGTCAATCAAATAATTAACGAACAGAGCGGATAATGAAATAAATAAACGGCCGTGACTAAGCCCAGCCTCAGAAGACTCCCAGCAGCTCCCAGAGGAGTCGAGAGAGAGAGAGAGAGAGACAGAGAGAGAGAGAGAGAGAGAGAGAGAGAGAGAGAGAGAGAGAGACAGAGAGAGAGAGAGAGAGAGACAGAGAGAGAAGATAAAGACAGAAAGAGAAAAGAGAAAAAGAGAGAGAGTGAGAACACAGGGGGTGGAGAAAGAAGAAGAAAGAGAGAGACAGAGCAGGAGATGGGGAGACCAGGCGGAGAGAAAAGAGAGCAAGTTGGCGAGAGAGTGTGGAAGAGGGAATAGAGAGAGAGATAGAGCAGAAGTACAAAAGAAAGAAAAAACGAAAGAAAGAAAGACAGAGAGAGAGGGTGAAGAAAGAGATGGAGGGAGACAGTGAGAAGAAATGGGAGAGAAAGGGAGAGAGCGAGAGTGAGAGAGAGAGAGAAGAGAAAAAGAGAAAGAGCAGGAGATAGGGAGAACAAGAGAAAGAGTAAAGGGAGAGCAAGTTGGTGAGAAAGGGAGGGAGAGGGAATGAGAGAGAGAGAGAGAGAAAGAAAGAATGAAAGAAAGAAAGAACGACAGAGAGCGGGAGAGAAGGTGAAGAAAGAGAGTGAGAAAGAGACTGAGGAGAAATGGGAGAGAAAGAGAGAGAGGGGGAGAAAGAAAGAAAGAAAGAACGCAAGAGAGAAAGTGCATGAGAGAGAGGGAGACGAAAGAGATAAAAGGAGACAGAGTGTGAGGAGAAGTGGGAGAGAAAGACAGAGAGAGAGAGAAAAGAGAAAAAGAGAGTAGGAGATGGGAAAACAGGAGAAAGAGTGAAGAGAGAGCAAGTTGGTGAGAAAGGGATGGAGAAGGAATAGAGAGAGAGAGGGAGACGAAAGAGATAAAAAGAGAGAGAGAGTGAGGAGAAGTGGGAGAGAAAGAGAGACAGAGAAAAGAAAGAACGGCAAAGAAGGCAAATAGGGAAATAAGAGAGAGAGCATGAGAAAGAGAGTGAGAGAGAGAGAGTAAGGAGAGAGAGATAAATAAATGAGTGGGTGAGTGAATAAAAGCCAGCGTGTTCACATGATGGCACTCAGCATAATCATTCTAACCACGGAGCGCAGCGCTGATTTATCGCACTAATAACCCTGACGTCACACACTGGGACCAAGTGTCTCTCGACCTCTGTTTCTCTCTCTCCCTGCTTTCTGGCCCCCTTTCTCTCCTTTTCTCCCTCTCTCACACGTTCTCTCACCCTCTTCTTTCTGAGTCTCATTTCACTTTCTGTTTTTCATTCTGCCTCCTTTTATTTCTCTCTCTGTCTATGTTGTGTTTCTTCTTTTTTTAGGTTCCCTTCATCAGATCTCTTTCTTTCTCTGTCTTTCTCTTTCCTTCTTTCTGACTCACTTGCTCTCCCTTATCATCCCTCTGCCTGTCTCTCTCAATATCTCGTCCACTCACTCACTCATTCACCCACTTTTCTTCCGCCTGACTCCCTCTCTCATCGCCATTTCATTTTCACTATCAAACTTACCTCTCTCACTTCATTACTTCCCTTTCTGTCTCTCTTTCTTTCCCCTCTCACGTCTCTTCTTTTTGACTCCTTCTTTCTCTCTCCTCTCCCTTCCCCCTCTTTTTTCATCCTCTCACTTTTGACTGATAGTTCTTCCCCCACTCTCTCTCACTTCTACAAACACCTTCCCCCTCCTGCAAACCAGAAAGTGTTAAATCCTTCTCTCTCTCTTCACTTCTTCCCCAGTTCTCTCTCTCTCTCTTTTCACTCCTTCCCCAGTTCTCTCTATCACTCAGACCTATATACAGTGCATCACCCCTACTGCATGTTCCTCTGAGCGCCAATGCCTCTATTTCTCTACTTTCTGCCCCAGAGGACGTGATTAAAATGAGTCTCCCCCTCCAAACACACACACACACACACACACACACACACACACACACACACACACACACACACACACACAAACAGCTACTGTTCTTCACTACAGATCTGCTCTCCCGCAGGCAGGACACAGCCGTATACCATCCCACGCATGGAAACATGCTCAAGCAGAGTGGTCACGTGACCAAATACATGGAAAAACTGGATTATATTTGTCAGGCAATATCACAAGCATCACCAGCATCACCATGGTCATCATAAACAATCACCAGTATCAACATCCGCATCATCATCATGCCCAAGACCATCACTAACATCATCTGTACCAGTGTCGTCATCAACATCATCATCACCACCACCATTACCAATGCCACCATCACAATGCACTGACATCACCAGCATCACCAGCATCATCATCACTGTCATCACGACCATAAACACCAGTATCATTATCTGCATCATCACCTACATCATCATGCCCAGGATCATCACTAATAATCTGTACCAGTGTCATCAACATCATCATCACCATCATTATCAATGCCTCCATCACAATCACCCCACCAGTATCTGTACTGACATCACCAGCATCACCAGCATCATTTTCACTGTCATCATGACTATAAACACCAGTATCATCATCACCTACATCATCATGCCCAGGATCATCACTAATATCATAAGTACTAGTGTCATCATCATTATCATCATCATCATCATCATCATCACCAATGCCACCATCACAATCACCCCACCAGCATCTTCACTTGACATCATCAGTATCACCATCATCACAAACATTATCACTACATCACAATCATCATCACTGCCAGTATCACCATTACCATCAGCACCACCATTATCAATCACCACCATTATCACCAACTTCATAACCTGAACCAGCAGCAATATCAACAATGTCAACAATGTCATCAACAATGTTATCATCAAAATGTTAATACTTTAAACACTGCCATCACTATCACAATGATCATCATCCTCATCACCATCGTAATCATTCACCAACATCATCAGACACCATTATCAATACCAGCAGCAATATCATCACCAGTGAGCATACAATGTGACAGTATCATCACCACTGATGATACAATATGACCTCAAGCATTGTCATGACCATCACAACCACCATCATCACCACCATCATTACCTTCACCAACATCATTCCCCACCAGCATCAGCATCATAAACATCACCAACATAAACATCATCATCCCCACTTGCATAATAATCACCACAATCATAAACACAATTACCAAAACGGTCACCATCATCACCACCATCACCATCATCAAAATCATCACAATCACCAATCTCCCCACCAGAATTTTCATCATAATCATCACCACCGTCACAATCATCATGATCACCAAAATCATGACCATCATCCCTACCAGCATTATCACCATCAACATCATAAACATCACTACCAACACAGTCACCTGTATTCAGAATCATCATCATCATCATCAGCACCATCATAAATATAATCCTCACCACCAACGTCAGCATCACAGACACCATCATCAAAATTATCCTCATCATCTGTCACATTTACACAGCAGGGCTTTTCACAAAAAAGTGAAGAACTCCATAAATAACTCTATGAATTGTGTTTTGATGTAGCCTGATAGTAAACCATGTTATAGGGCAGTTGGAGGGGCAGCGCAACCCCCCACGATGTTGTTTGTTTGTCTGAGGCCCCGGCCTGCAGTGTCCAGCGCTTCATGCTGGTCTCACTCAAACACCCCTGATTCACCTGATAATTAGCTGCTGAGCTGTGTCTGATGTGTTAGAGCTGTAAAGGTGGAGCGCTGCAGTCCTGCAGGACTGGAGCAGGAACAGGTTTATTACAAAGGATTTCAACTACACAGTCTCTCTCTCTGTCTCTCTCTCTCTCTCTCTGTCTCTCTCTCTCTGTGGTATTTCTGGGCAGTAGTTCTGTAGTTTGCCATTCAGCTTCAGTTGTCTCTATTCATATGAATTGTAATTAACAACCTAAATGAATGCTTAATTATAATAGTGAAAATCGCATATAATAGAAAAACACATTTTCCTCATTCCATAAAATCCATTATAAAATGTATTAAAAAGTTTCGGTCCTAAAATCTGATTGGCTAAAGCCATTGTAAAATCCACAATACACGCAAACCTATAACCACCTCACAACAACTGAACTGTGCATGACGAAAAACCCTTGTGTTGTTAATGGAATAATCTTTGACTCTCATGCTGCTCACAAGGACCACTGACTGTACTGATGAGGTAAGAACCTGGTTTTTTGTTTAAACTGAGGGGCGACTTATGTTCTTAACTAGAACCAGACTAGTCAGCTAGCTAACAGGCTAAAAGAGCCAACAGCCTAAACAGCTTCATCATTAATATCACAGGCTGGAATTAAAGCACTTACAGTCTGATTAACTGTAAAACTGCAGTATAAAGTCTAAAAATGTCTCTTGAATGTCTCACACGCTTCAAATGTTCGTGTTTCAGTCAGAAGTCACGTCAAACCCAGGCTGAATCCCAAACGGCTCTGTAATCCCTAAATAGTGTGCTAGATATGAAAGTTTAGGAATTCCAGCCTCTACAGCCAAACAGTGCATCATTTATCGAGTGTGGATGTGTCTGAGTCCCAAATGACTGTGTCTTAGTTACATTTTGCTCTGTTGGGTCCAGGATCCAGTATTTAAACTCCTACATAGTGCACTATGTAGGGAGTAGGGAGCCATTTGAGATTCAGCCTGCTGGATTGGTGCTAAATAAGACTCATGGTGGTAATTTAGTGACCAAAAAGTACTTATAAAGCAAAGGTCTTTGCATTAAACAGTGCTGTGTTATCATATGATCATTGTTATCTGACAAAAGGTTAAAAAATGCATGAAATGACCGCAATATACAGCAACGGGCGACCGAACATTCTCCTCATTCAGCGTCCATGGTTGCT